ATATTCTAATAGTTAATATGTCTTTACTACTTAACGCACCCTCAGTTAGATCTAAAAGAAATAAAGGCAGTTCAAATGTAGATTCTAAATAGATAGGATTATATATGTAGTAAATTTATTATTATTTTTTTTGTATCAATAAAGTGACCCTGGTGGTTAATTATTATTTTACATATTCATCCATATTTTTTCGTGTGAGGAATGTGCATTAGATAATAAAACTTTTCTTGGCAAAATTTGGGCGACCCGAGATCGCTGAAATCATGTGACCAAAATTTCGTTTACCTCGGGTAAGGGAAATCATGTGACTAGAATTTTCAGTGACGAGAAGTGGGTTCCCAATCACGTAAATTTGCAGAACTGCGCGGTCTCGGAAAATACGTGATTTCTTTCTTTTGAATATAAAGCATAAATATTACTAGGAGTAGTATTACGCAATTTTGCGGTAATGGCGCAGTATTGACTTGATATTTTTTTTCAGATTTACTAGTAAAATATACTATTCGACGCAGTAATGGCGCAGTATTTCTTAAAAATAGTTATGCAAAGCGCCTTTCGGCTGATGTAATTTAGACTATCTTAACGTAATCGCTTCCATGTGACTTTGGTTAAAATCATTCCACAGTAGCTATCTGCATGATTTTAAGCCACATCTAATATATATAGTCATTCAATATATAATGACTTGTCTTTTGCGCTTCAGCCACCCCCTCTCCACGTAATTGCAATAATGTAGTTAAGAAAGGTATATAATACCATGGTCTCTAGAGATCTGAATCCCAAAAAAATAAAAAGCTTTTTACAATATAGACTGATGAGCAACTTCGAGTCTTAATCGACAACTGCAAAGAAAATAACGAAATGTTTCATGAACTAGCTGGGAATGGAAAGAGAATTTTCTGGAAGAAAGTCTTCACAAAGATCAACCTTCGGTTTGGAACGTCTTATACTGGTGCGCATTGTAGAGAAAAGTTCGAGAGTCTTAAACGGGATTGTAAAGTATGTAGAAATCCTTCTCAAATCTTTGAAGCCTCAGCTAAATGCATGCAGCGCCTGATGCCAGACTAATTTATCTTTTCTATTTAGCGTATGTAAGCATACATCAATGGTAAAGCCAATGGAAAAAGGACTAAGAACGGCTTCAAGTATTATGAGGAATTCAAAGAACAGTTCTGGAAAATACCAGGTAAAGATTAGTTGATCAGAAAAAAGAATATTTATGAGAAGATATACTAATCTCTAATACTTTATTTCACTATAGTGACTGACTATGATCGGCTCCGTGAACAAAATATTGCAAGAAGACATCAAACCTCACCACCGCCATATGAAGAAAATAGAGGTTCTACCTCACAAGTACCACCATTACATTCGTAATAATAGGAATAATTATATCTAGCTATTAGTATTTTTCGCTGTAGTTATTTTATATTGCTAGAAATCACCCAATACTTGTATAATGTGAATACCAATTATAATAAAAATAATATCATCATTTTTTGGAGGAAAATTAACCAAGAGGCTCTTTGCATGAATTAGCTGAAGAACTTTTTTCTTTGCACTTTTGCCTAGCTTCTATCTCCTTTTACAGATTTAATGAAGTGTCAAACCTTAGGCAGATAGCAATACATCACAAATTATCTGCTTGTGCAAACCCCAAAAATAATTTTTTTCTAGGAAAAGTGCTAACTGTGTACATGCAGTATGCATCGAAGTAATTATTTCACTTATCATAATTTTTTATTTGAATTATAATCATGTACAGTTATACAATTATCAGATATGAAAAAAAGACAATTATTCTGAGATTGGTTTTTAGGAGAACAGTATCATTTCGTGATACAATCAGAATAATTTAATACATACATGCTACCTTATAATGCAAACTAGCCATATATCAAGTTAAACTCGTATTTTCTTATTAGTACGTTTAGATTTAGGAGAATGGATCATCCGCGTTGTCATACCCTGAAAAGCTTCGCCATCGCCATCTGTCCACAAAAAATCGCCTATAGAAGTCGAACTTTTGGATAACAGGCGCTAATTTATAAGAATGTTAATTTTTGTATTCTGTATATTATTTCTTCTATAATCAATCTGTGCAAACCTCATATCTCAAGAATCCGATTATACTTTCGTGGGCATTTTTCATATCTTTCCAAGTTTTTGGAAGGGGAAATTTCAATACTTCTTCCATGGTGTATATTTCAGAATATTTGAGCTGAAATTCGTATATGATAACCTGACATACTGTAAACTCCAAAAGTTAGTAATATGCAATTATAATGAGCGATAATAATGTGCCCAAAACGTACAATATAATTGCATTCCGTATAGTCTAACCATTCTAATATCGGAACCTGGACGAAGCTTTGCGAATCGATTAATCAATGTTTTTAACATCTTAGCTATTTTCAGCCGATCTCCAATAAAATGCGACCAATCATTTTTATTTGGGGGACCGCTGACTTCTGTAACCGAGAACTCCTCGTTATCTTCCTTTATTACAAAAATCGTGTCAATCTTCTTGCCAGGAGAACGTCGTTCATTATCCGCTTTTTGAGAATTAAGATCTTCGGCATTTGCCTTAAGGCATGTTTCCCCGTATTTTGGGTACCAGATCTTCTTATTTTTCATAAAAAATTTATTCAGAATTGGCGCCAGAAAAATTACAATGAACGACCCTTCGGACATATCTTCGAGAAGCACATTAACATCTTCCATAAGTTCAATCCTATAAACCATGGGCTTGTTAGTCTTATTACATTTCTCAATGGAAATCAAGCAAAATATAGTCTTACATATGATTTATAAAAAACAAAGCAAAATCTTCCTCAAATGACTCAACATTCTTCCGTAGTTTAAGATTTTCTTTAGTTTTGTTTATGTCGCGAACAATAATGTTGTTCAGAAATGATTTAATGTTTTCTTCAATATCGCATTTTGTTCCTTCATCCTTTCTCCTCATATCATTACGCATCTGCATAACGGTGTTTTCTTCCAGTGTCCCCAAAAACGTGTCTTGATTTTTATCAGTAAAAAGTATTACATCATAGTATTCTGGCCTCGTTTTTGGTAGACCTGTTTCCTGGTATTCTGTAAGTTTGTCACGGATATTAATCCCGCCAACTAACCAACTAATACTTTTTCCGCACACAATTGTTTGTTCCGCGTCATACTCCTCTTCAAAATTACTTTCATCCTCTAGATCATGTTTTCTTTCTTGTGATGATTCAACGATAAAAGGATTTGGACCAATAGGTAAGATATCATGATCTATTGTGATCTGTCTTTCTGGAGTTTTATAACAACTAACGGATACATCAGCTTGAGTGAATGTTGTGTAAAGTGTGGAATTTGCGGACCTTGCAGTGTTAGCTAATAATTTAAGCTATACATAATTTTAAGAATATTTGTAAGCTACACATATTGATGAATATATTTGTCGGGATAGTGCAAGATACTTACCCTGTTCTGAAGCATATCCGACCTAACCGATTGAGCTGTGATTTTGTTTTCATGAAGTTTTAATAACTCTGCACACTTCTTTTTGTCCGCTTTATATGTGTCAATCAGCTTTTTTGCCATAGTCTTTTGCTCGTCGTCAAACTCTGATGATTTACAAATATTTTGTAATCCTTCCTTGTAAAAGTACAAGCAGTCCTTTTTTGAGAATCCTGGTCCGACATGCGCGTCGATAAAAGAGCAAAGACTCCATAGCTCGAAAGGAGTAGTAAAAAAATATGGATCAATAAACCCTTTCATGGTACCTTCCGAAATTTCTGTAGTCATGATGGAAAATTTTTAGACGAGAAATCCAGTTTATAATTACACATTTGACATTTCTTAAGAAAGCATCGCGCGGTCTATCATTCATCACCCGTGACACAAAAAAAACGCGTCTATAAATTAAGTCATTTCTGACCATGGCATATTTACTCAGATCGGCGATAAAGATAAGTATATTATTCCGATGTCGAACACTCATGCGAGTGTTAGCAGTTCGTCCTAAGCCCACTTCTTGCGACGATGGGTTAGGTTATGCGAACGGACAACTGCTATAATCACACCTTGTCCTAAGCCCGGTTTCTTGCGACGACGGTTTAGTCCGGTTTCTTGCGACGACGGTTAGGTCTTGTGACGGACGGGTGCAATATCCCAGAACTGTTTAATCTGATATTTTTTACCCTATTATTTCATAGCTTATGGACCGCATACCGTCAAAAACGAAATAAATAAGGACTTTGGTATGAAATTGTTAGATATGAGGTATGGAGATCGTTCCTGTTAAGTCTTTTTTGATCTTGAGGTGCACTATTATCTCCACGATATTGTCACAGATGGTATACAATTGATTTTATATCAAATTTAATTTTTATACGATTATTTTTTCCATCATTTTTATTGCAGGTAAGGATTGTAAAGAAGGCTCTATGCAGGTAAGGATTGCCTTTTCCTGCTATATAGTTCAGGAGATTTACTTGCTTTGATTGTTGATAACGCATTTTTGTCTTGCGTCTTTGCCGTAACTCTTTTTTGCAAATCTAACAGAGCATCAAAACTTGTGGATAGTTCATCAATGATATTAATGATATTGATAATTTGTCTATATTTGTGTAGGTTCGAAAGTTGTTTTTCTTAGCTTGATCATTTCTTAACAACGTTTACTAAAATACAAGGGAGGTTTTGTGATGACATTAACCGAATGAAAGAAAAAAAAATATAGAAGTCTGCAATTGGTGTTGAGCTACACTGGGAACGCCACAGTTTAGGAAACTAATGAAATGATCTTTTTTTTTCAACTTGTAACTATGCCTGTATCATGCAAAAATATGTAATTTATTTTCAATATTAGCATATACCGAAGTTTAATAAAATAATGTTAATAAAATTTCGCACATAGACGCGTGTGAATAATGTATGTGAATGTGTGTGTAAAAAAATAAAATTTTGAGGCAAAGTTGTGAATAAATGCATTTAAATATTTGAGTTTATTCAATGAGACCCAACTCCCGAAGATGATTTGGAATAACTACATGCGGGTCTTCATAATACCAAACATACCTTAGGGCAATCTGATTCTCTTCGCATAATTCTTTCTTGAGTTGATCCCGTGCTTGCTGTTTGATAAAATTATTGGGATCGGCATTATGAAAGAATTTGATATATTTTTCATGTTGTACGCCCTGTACTTCGATTGCAAAGCCATATTCTGGGTAATAAATATCAAGTTCTAATCCTGTGGGACATTCTGATGTTTTGAGAAAATTAGGTTTGCGGATTAGTGAAGGAGGGCCAAGATATTTTGTTAAAATTTCATGACATAGCTTTTCTCTTTTATATTTTGGACAGAATGGGCACCACAAGTTTAAATGTTTAACGTTATCAAAAGTAGCAAACCATCTATGCTTTTTATCACACATCCATAATAAAGCTGAATGATTATTAATATAATAATCAGAAAGACAAGCTCCCTTTCTCTTATAAGCCAATTGTTTGGCATCTTCAAGTGTACAAGGCCTATTATTTGCACAATGTGGACACCATGTCTTATTATTTTTCACATTGTTAAAAGATGCATTCCACTTATGCCCTTCAGAACAACGCCATGATAAAGGTGAAAAACTATTATCATACGTTTTGGAAAGGCACTCTCCATTCTTACTAAAAGCAACTTGCTTAGCATCTTCAATTGTATGACTGGCCTTATTTGCACAATACGGACACCATGTCTTACCATTCTTGATATTGTTAAGAGATGTAGTCCACTCATGACCATTTGCACATTGCCATTGCATTGAAATGTTAGCATTAACATATTCAATAGAAAGATAAAGCCCACCATGGTTTCCAGCAATTGCATAAGCATCGTTTATTGTCAACTTTCTCATTGCAAATAGGTGATTCTTCATCAAAAAAATCAAAACTTTAATTTCAGGAGTAATGAATCTTTATGATCCTTTTTTTTGCTTCTCTCGTAACTCTACCTCTTTTTGAAGGTCTAATGGACTATCAAATCTCAACCGAATTGCCAGTGGATCATCATCTGATTTATTTAGATCAAAGACAATAAATTCACCTTTTCGAAGGTAACTATTAACAACCATAGAGATATTTTTCACATCTTCAGTATATCGTCCAATGACCTTGAAAATATCTTGATGGGAACTGCCACCATTAAAGACTACTAGATGTAAAATATTTTCACAGATAATTATTGGTGTATGATAATAACGTTGTGTTACATATATGCTTGAAATATTTCTATGACGTCCATGTGTAAAAAATAGAATGATTCGATTTTGAATGAACTCAGGAGCCACACATAAATCCTCAAAAATAATTGCTGTGCTTCTCTCAGACGAAAATGCTCTAACACTAGGAATTTTTTCTGGCGATATATAGCTAAATCGTATATTCTCATAGTAAGGTGCTTTTGGATCTTTTGAAATTATGCCATACATATATTTTACAAATGTCCACTTTAGCTCATCAGGATGATAACCGCAAACTATCAAATCATCACATACAATATATCTAGAGCCATACGAAGTACCTCTCAGCCCTTTTTTACCTTTATATATGCATTCAGCTTTATTACTGAGAAAAAGATATTAGTCTTACCTGATCCACTTTTTCCGGTGACTAGCATTGAGAAAGGCTATGATGGACTTGCAGAATGTGATTGAATTCAGGATGATTCGTACTTTATAGCCTCATCCATATCCATAAGGTAAAGTTTCATAGGGTAGTCCTGTTTTTTGGTTCTTCTGCGTATCAGATTGGGAATCCATAACTATAATTTTTATTTAAGGGTATTTTATAGTTCAGAATATTTTTTTCGTAGGCAGGATATTGGTTATTTTTTTTTCGCGAATTCCACCATTTCCTGACCATGAACCATATGATCGCAATAAGTACTAGAATATATTAACATAGGTGAACTCAAGGAGCTCGTGACGATAGGAGCAGTTGCTAATAAAGGTACCGCTTCTGCGTCACCTATAGAAATTATATGGGATGAAGGATTAAGAGTTGAAAGAGCCCCTTCAGGATCATCTTGCGATAAATTATTCATAGGAGGGGGTGAAGGGTCTACTTCATTATCTTTCTTTAACGCTAACTGGTCCTTGAGGGACCTATTTTCATCAAATAACTTTAATCGCCCTGAAGACAGAATATCTATTTCCCATTTGTATATACTATCTGATGACTCTTTCCTTTTTTCCATACATTCTATTTCATGTTTTCTTGAATTAAGGTTCTCATACACTCGTCTCAGTTTGAGTTTGAGAGAATCGATCTCTTTGGGATCTAATTTCAAGTCCTCCAACTTACCTTCTAATTTACGTACTTTAGCTTCAAGAGAAAGAATCTTGATCTTGTCAGCAGACGAAGCTTTCTGGGCCAAAGTTGCTTCTCTTTTTAGTGTTTTAATAAAAGATTTGAGCGATTGGATTTTGGCAGAATATTTGGCTTCAAGTTCGCGTTGACTCTCAGAATAAGACTTCCATTCAGAAATAAGTTGGAATCTAACTTTAGCGCTAGACGCATTTAACTGGTTAATCTTATTTCCAATATTACTATAGCTTCGCTGATACTCCTTC